TCTCTCTCTCTCTCTCTCTCTCTCTCTCTCTCTCTCTCTCTCTCTCTCTCTCACACACACACACACACACACACACACACACACACACACACCACTTCACATTACTTTAAAATCTAGCTATAAGCAGAGAAGAAATCCCATATAATGAAGAGGAAACAAAAGTCTTTTATTGGCTGGATATAAGCTAGAAACGAGTGGGACACTTTAGAATAATATGAGGGAACATAGCCACAAAAAATTAGAACCGCATAATCACTCCCCAAATCACCATACAAGCCCTAGTTTATGATTCTGACTTAGTGGTCTTCCCGCCTCAGCCAATGTCTAGCAGAGTGCTAGGATTTGAGGGTTGAAACTCATGAACACTGTCTGGCCTGTAAACCTGGCTTACTCACCTCCTTGGCAGGACTTGAGAAAAATCATTTATCTGCTTCCAATTCAGATTTATTCATTCTTAATTCCTATGGGTAAATGACCTCTTATCTCTTCATGCATGCAGAGAGAGAAGCACTTATACAATGTGTTTATAGCAGTTATATAGAACATGTTCAGTGTGCACAAGTCTCAAAGCCAGTCAGTAGCCTAGCTTGATCTGAACATGGGCAGACCACGCTCATCTAGGCAGCTCTTGACCGTGATTCTGTGCGCCGACCTGTTATGTTCTTCATATGTTTTATAAAAGGAAGAAAAGAAGAAAGGAGAGGGAGGGGGCATGGAGAGAAGGAGGAGAAAAGGAGGAGGAAGAGAAGGAGAGGGAAATTATCCTCTTGATGTACTTTCCAAATAATCTGGGGATCAGGTGGGCTAGACCTAACCTATTACAATAGTCAGCACTGAGTAACAGCGCATGAAATGTCACTCTGGTCTGATGAGGTCATTGTGTCTTTGTTTTGCATTGTTCAGGAGAGGTATTCTTGCAGATTAAAGGACCACTGGAGGATGTTTATAAAATCTACTGCTATCATCACGATGAAGCACACAGTGTACTGGAGTCCTATGAAAAGGAGGAAGAGCTGAGGCACCATTTGAACCACTGTATCCAGTCCTTAAAGTAAGGCCTTTTTGAGTGGCAATTCCCATCTATTCTGGTTGCTTAGCAGGAGCCATTTGAAGTGGACAGAGATGGAAGGTCACATACAGCCAACATTTCACAGGGCTTGCCTGGATGGCTGCTTTATAAAAAGCCAATGTGCTACAAGCCCAGACTGACTTTTGTTCCCCCTCAAGAGGATGTCTAAAAATAACAAGTGAGACAAAGATTCAAGGCCCTGTAGAGACGAGGAAAATGCAATATTGTCAAACAATAATACTAACATAAATAAGATATGAAAGACGGGCTGCTGTTCATGCATTCTCAAGGGCCAGTGAGTTGGTTACATTAGTGGAATTCCTGAATAGTCCTCCTTGTTGCCTGGTCTCCTGTGGGGAGATTGTGAGGAGGACTAAGGCCCTGCCAAAGTTAGCTTCAGGACAATTAGACACTCCTCATCCATACCATGTGAGGAGACGGTAGTGGAGCTACACAAGTTTGAATAAGTTTTTAAGCCCTTGGTATTCTCCAAGCAATTGATAAGCATAGGTTTTATCTTCTCTCTGTAAATAGGGGACTCTGAGCCTGTGTTTGCTCTGACCTTTTAGATGAAACTGGAAGCCTGTTTAAAGCTAAACTCATCCTCCTTTTTCTCATCTTTTCAAGTTCTCCTATGGACCTCCACTCTTGAGGACTGTATACTGTTGAATGGACTGCTTCCGGCCAGGGGTTAACCAGTTTGAGGAAGCTGACATGTTAGGTCAAGATCTGGGAGTCTGCACCTCTAACACATCTTCGTGTGTCCTATTGTGTGAGAGAAAGGGGGGTCCCCCTTCGATGGAAGTTTGTAGCAGCTTTGGGGTGCAGTGGGGAGACTAAATGAGGCCACACTGGAGGAAGACTTTTCAGGCTCCAGTTAAAATGGAAAATGGCTTCAAATAAAAAGTATTTTGATTAAATTTCAGCTTTATTGCCCTCTACTGGCCAAGCATTGCAGGTCTTTCATCTTTTTCCATACCTTGAGAGAAAAAAAAAAAAAGTGGGCATTTATTGAAAGCTTGTGCTGTGGTGTGTATGCATATTGTGCTGACAAAATAAAACTTTATAGTCTCCAGGGAGATGGGCATGCTCAGATAACACGTGTGTGGGGTGGGCAGCTCAGGCTCATTTTTGTTGTTTCAGTGTAGGTCAATGTTACCATATCAGCTTGAAGAAAAATTAAAGTGTGAAATTGTATTTGCCTAAACACGTTCATATAAGAAGAACAAGTCCTCTACATGGACAGGTATTTTTATCTTCATGTAAGATAGTGACGCCCTGTGTACAAAACACCTTCTCACAATACATGTGTATTCCTTCAGGTTCTAGAAATAATAGGGGCGGGGTGGGAGGGGGGATCACACAATACATGAAAAAGTGGCATCTTTGATTAACCTGCATATCTAGGGACCTGGACAGAAAGCTAGTCAGTTTGGGCCCATAGTCCTCTTGACTGCTTCATCTAAGCTGCCTGGGTGATAAATGTTAGTGTGCCATGCAATTAACTTTTGATTCCTAAGAGAACAGAGCCCGCTACAGTATTCTCTATGCAGCACAGCTCAATACCATTTCCTTTAAAAGCAGTTCGAGGGTAGAAGTATTGTGGAATCTCAAGTTTACTTTCAGGCCCATTAGCTTGTTTTGTTTTTTAAGCTTCAAAAATACTGTTCCATGGTGTGTCCAATTCTGTGTATTCAGAACCACTCTAACTTTTAGAAATAATCTCCCCTGCCAAGAGGTGTTAAGGTGTAGAATGCACAAAATCCAAAGGAAACAAAATTGGCAGAACTATTTCTTAAGGGAAAGAAAATCAAAATAAAATAGTTTAAGCCGGAGCTATTTTCCCCAAAGTTGGGTTTCCATGAAAATAAAGCTGATGATGAATTGTGTGGGTCTGCCTGAGGCTGAGGGCAGTGGTATTATTGACATCACTGTAATATGACCCCAGCTGAGCCAAGCTTTCAATCCTGAGAAACAGGTTTTCAAACAGGTTTATAGGCCAAAGAGACTCCCGAACACCCTCGGGCTTGGTTTCCCTTGCCAAGTAATCAGTCAAAGCTATTACTGTCGCCCTGCCTTTTCCTATTGGCTAAATAAAGGAGCGGCTGCCATTTCTAATGAACATTAGCCTCGGCCTCCATTTTCAACAGTGCAAGGGATACTGGAATGAGCTGGTGTGAAGCAAAATATCCACATGAGAGGTGACTTCATGCCTCAGAAGCTAACGCAGATTTTCAAGGGACTTAGGTTACATTTTTAACAAAAATTAAAATATGTTTATTGAGGGCCTCATAAATATTTATTAAGAGTACTAGATAATGTTGAAAATATTTTTAATATATAAGCATGGTTCTTGCCCCCTAGGAACATAAACTCTAGTCAGAGATAAAACTGTCCGGAAAGCTTGCCAGCAATACAAAGTTCATTTAGTTAACACACCAGAAGGTATCTCTATAGGTTTAGCCCAAGATTAACCTCCAAAGGGAAGGCAGAGATGCTGCCTTGCTCTGTATGATATCCAGGCTTAGGAACCTTGGCTATTCTTTGAAGCTCATTATCATTCAAAAGAGAAAATTAGATTTGGATCCAGAAAATTAGTTTTAATGTGTTAGGGCAGTATTTCTTGGTGTGTGAGTTCTCCAGTGCCTGATACACCAGGAATGTGTGTGAACGGTGAGTAACTTTTAAAACAGGGTGGAGAAATATGGTTCTGTGATGAAGAATGACAGCCACTCTTACAGAGGACCTGGTTGTGCTTCTCAGTATCCACGTGGTGGCTCACAACCATTTGTAACTCCAGTTCCGGGGACTCTCACGCCCTCTTCTGACCTCTTTGGGCACCTGACATTCACGTTCACGTGGTACACATACATACACTAGGTAAAACACTCATACACATAAAAATAAATCCTTCTCTTAAAAAACCAACTAAAGTTATCTGGAAATGCAGTGTACACCTGCACCGACACCCTAAAAACTGGACATTTACATGCTCTTTTTATCCAGCAAGGAGTGTTTAGCCAAGTGGGACGAAGGGCCCTAGGACTGACTGAGATGTTGTATCACTACTTCTTTGCTGACTGAGGACTTCGTTGCTTAGCCTCTTGGGAGTTACTGATGATTTCTGACCTATTCGAAGAAGTGAGCATCGGCAACCATTCAGCAAGCTGTTCTATAATTAGAACAGCCTATCTGCCCCCCTCCTTTCTGTTTTCCAGTTAGAAATATTACTAAAGACTCTCTTATAGATCAGTGTCCCCAACAAGTCTGTTCATTCTGTAATAAAATAGGAGCAAAAGGACTTTTCTCACTTTTTTTTTTCATGGCTAGAGTCACATTTCTAGCCTCCTCATATCTTAGTGTTATAAATTAACCTGTGTTTATCTTTTTGCTAACAAAGGTCCCATCCTCAGGAGAAAAAACATTTACCTGTTGGTCATCTAGACAGTTTGGTCATGTTGTTCCTGTGGCTTTCCCGCTTGGAGAAGCAGCAAAAAGTTCATGCTGTCTAAGGAGCTGCATTTTTATTTTCTCACTACCATGTGTTTTGAATCCAAACAGAGGGTCCCATGGAAAAATCAAAACCACCTCTGGAAATTCTTTCAGCTTCTTGCAGTATGACATTGTTTGGAAACAGACCATAATCTTTAAGGAATAGAGCCACATAAAACCTTTAATTCGTGAGTCAAATTCTAATGAGCCCAGCAGGAGAGGGAGGTGATTATTTTATCCCATAAAAAGCTAAATGGATGCTGCTTAACTTCTTCCTGGATTGTCCTTGGCTGGAGTCACCTTCTGGAAAGCTTCAAAATCTATCATAAAAAAGAATGTTTCTTCTTTAGTGATGAGAAAATCAGGTGAAGCAATGATACAGTTTCCCGCTTTACAGAGTATGGCTCCCTCCATTAGAAAAACGTCAGGTTCCTTTATAGAAAGTGGCATGTAACGGGAAGCATATGCTTAGTTTTATTATAATTTTAGGTTGTTTGTTGAAGTAAATAAAAGAGAAAGAGAAAAGAGAGTTTTATGTCTCTCCAGGACTAAAAAACAAAATGGTTTCTTTCCACTTCAGTGTATTTACTTCCTAAATAACATTTGTTCAATCACTTGTTTCATTGGAAAATTGTGGTTTTATTTCTTTTGTTTTACTAATTTTATAATATATGATCTGCAAAAAAACAGATCCTAGAACAAATGAGATTCTCCACTAGAGGAAGATAAAAGTGAGTAGAAGAATGTGAACATAAAGGAAATGGATAGAAGTCCCAGGACCACAGAGAGACAGTTGCTTTCACTACAGATTTTTTAAATATCAATTAATAATTTCCTAAAGTTATAACAGGTATTGACTTTAAAGACAGTGTGATTTTGTCTTTGATTCCCATTTGGAGGTTTTGGACTTCTCAGAACCCAGTTATCTCCAGATGTCTGGGGATCCACTTACACGTACAGGTCTGAGGACTGAGGAAGGAGTTGCTTTAACACATATAACCATCTTCCACACGGATGGAGAACTGGAACTTTTTTAACTTATTCAGTCCAGTTCAGCATAAGTATTTATCATTAAATTTTTATCTCAATCGCTGAATACAAAAAGTCCAGGCATGGTAACACATGCCTTTAATTTCAGTGCTCAGGAGCCAGAAGAAGGAGGATCTCTGTGAGTTCAAGGCCAACCTGGTCTACATAGCAAGTTCCAGGATAGCCAGGAATACACTGTCTCAAACAAACTAACAAAAACATAGCCGTGTGATTTTTTTTATATTAGAAATATTTATGATAAAAATATTCACTGTATTCAAAAAGATTAAAAAGCACAAAGGAAGCTGTGGGTCACACGATAAACAGAAGCGATTGTGTAATTTTGTAATAGACACACGCCACGTTTAGGAGGAAACTTCCATCTCTCTTGTTTCTTAAATTTGTCCTGACTAATTTCCATTGTTTTTTCATGACTAATTAGTTTGACATATACTTTGAGCACCCAACACATATTGGTCACCTTTTAGATTGGTGTCATAGAAATAAACAAATTGTGTATCCATCCTCGCCTGAGTTGGAGAGACCAGCAATACACTAAAGAAGTGTGGCATATAGTAGGAAACATTAGCCTACCTTAGGAAGAGAAGGAAAAGCAGAGAATAGGGACAGCCAGGATGGTGTGAAGCATGGTGACCTTTGCAAAGACCAGTCAGAGAAGTCTTCTCAAGGAAGGGACACCTGAGCAAAAGCCTGAAAGGGATGAAGGAGAAAGGTACATAGAAATCTAGAGGGAAAACCATCTGAACAGAAGAAAAGTCTGGAGGCTGCTGCATGCCTACCTGACCTTCCTAGAAGCAAGAAGTCTGTGATTGCCATAGCACCTTGGGAGAAATGAGTACTAGGAAATGGGGTAGAGAGACAGGAAAAGGAGACACAGAGCATGTGCTTTTCCATGGGAGGACTTGTTTCACAGAAGCAAACAGCAGCCACCAAGGCTAGCAAGGCCTGCGTGAAGGCTGCATTTGAGAATTCTTGTTGAATTGTTAATACTGTGATAAGCCAAGCACAGTGGTGAGCACTTGTAATCCCAGCTCTAGGGAGGCTGACGCAGTAAGACTATCAGTTTGAGGTCAACCATGTCTATATAGGAGGTTCAAGGTCAGCTGAGGTTACATGGGGAGACCCTTTCTAAAGAATTCTCTTCCTAAACCTACATAGAGAGATTATAGAGTACTTAATAACATTGGTCTACAAGTCAGTTTAAGCCTTACTTTGTAAGCTCATAATCATGGTTGTCCTCATGATTGCGTTTGAAGGATTTTTTTCAAAATATGAACATAAATGAATTTAAAAACATACTTAAATTATTAAAATTTATTAACCAAATCACTAGTTTGAATTTTATGTATGACATTAAGCAAGATGGTAGATGTATTAAAGTGTCATTTTAGAACATATTTCTAATTAAAGACACTTGATTCCATGGGGCATTCATGAAACTTGCCCACTACTTCATTTGATATAGTAATTTATTTGAAAGTATTTGTAATGTTTCATATTATCCCATATGTGTGAATCTTTATTGATTTACTTTCTCTCCTTCTTTTACAGGAATATATATATGCAAGAGTAAGTACTTCTTTTTTAAAGATTTTTTTAATTTTCAATTTTTAGTTTTATTTATTCTTTGAGAACTTCATACAATACATGTTGATCATATTCGCGCTCTCCCCCAGATCCTTCCAGCTCCATTTCCTCATTCCACCCAACTTTGTGTCTTCTTTTTCTACCCATCAGATGTAGTTTGTGCTGCCCACACCCATAGTCTCACTGGTGTGTGGCGTTCCCCGGAGCATGGTTGACTTGCCAGAAGCAACGTTTTTTAAAGAACACCCGACTCCTCCTCTCCAATACCTATCACTTGCCAATATCTCCTTGGCGAGGGGTGGGACTTCCTGTCTACCGCCCATCTCCATTCTGAGATTTAGTCTCACTTGAGCTTGTACAGGGCTTGTGCGTGCTGTCATGGTTGCTGTGAGCTCATGTGTACATCTGTCCTGCTGTGTCTGTTAGTGCTTACATTTTTTTTTTCTAATTTTAATGATGGAAGCAAAATATACCTAAAAACAAAGCTTCTGGAAAAACCATTTGTTCTTTCCTGTCTTGTATCATTCCTCAAACTTGACCTTGACTTTGCGCCTGGCCTTGTGTTTTAAAAAAAAATCATAAATTTCATATAGAAAGGCAAACAACCCAGGATAGCCAAAACAATCCTGAACATAAAAATACTGTGGAAAGTGAGACCCTGTCTCAAAAAAAAAAATACTGGGGGAGGTATCACCATCTCAGATTCAAGTTATACTCTAGAACTATAGTAATTTTTAAATTTTAACTACTTGTTAATATGAGGGTGGGTTGCTTACAGAGGACAACAGAGGATGTTAGCTCCCCTGGTACTGTAGTTACAGCAGTTGTGAGCCCCCTGACCTGGGAGCTGGAAACTGCACTTGGCTCTGTGACAGCAGTTAAGTCTCACTGCTGAACCACCTCTCCATAATTGTACTTATTTATGAAATACAAGCTGGTGTTTTGATGAACATCTAGATTTTATATTGATCAATTTAGGCTACTTGGAAGCAACACTTGCACTACTTTTTTTAAAATAAAAATAAAATACAAAAAAACATAAGAAAAGCTACTGGATATTTCTGAACAAATCAGAATTTTTGTCTTTTGTAATCAAGCACATTACTTGTAATAAATAAGTCTATGAGTGCAAATTAACTTACTACAGACATTATTGGTGCATGCGATTTCAAGAGTACTTTATTTCCAGTTTTTCAGAGATGATTTTATGTATTACATTGCTATAATACTTTACCAAGCATATGGCAAATCCTAATATAATTTTAATTAAATTTCATATGCCAAGAAATCTCAGGAACTGCTCATCGTTCCTATCATTGGGATTGCTGGTGTGCCAAGGAACAGGTCTTCTTCAGCACATCTGTCCTAAAATAACAACCTTGGACTAGTCATAACAGTGATGAAGGCTGCAAAGATTAAAGCACAAGAAAAGCTTTTTCTATGTTATAGTAAAGTGTTGGTTGTCTTCATTGTGAAATCTTGTGTGATTTCAGAGGGAAAACATCATATACATATACGGCTTAGAAATGAAATATTGAATAGTTTCATTAAATACAAAATAGTTGGCTCATAGGACAATATGGAAGTTATTTTTATAAAAACATGTATACACACTAGAATGTATCCATTTCTCTAGAAGAAACCTGTGTCTAGCCTGTTTAGTACTAAAAGAATGATAATGGCTGGAGAAACGGCTTGGCAGTTGAGAGCACTTGTAGCTCTTACAGAGGATCCAGGTTTGACTCCTTGCACCCATGTGATGGCTCAAAACCATACGTAACTCCAGTTCCAGGGGTCCAGTGCCCTTTCTGACCTCCATGTGTACAAGGCACCCAGGGCAGAGGGCAGAGGACAAGTTTAGACAGTCTATTTTCTCCTTTTACCATGTGGGGTCCAGGAATCCTCAGACTTGGCAGTAAGTGCCCTTGCCCACTTAGCCATATCTCTGGCCCTGGTGAAGTTGATGATCGTTTTTGAAACATCAAAGAGGCTACCACTTTATAAATCTTTTGTTTCAGAAGGAAAGGGAACTGAAGAGGTGGCTCATAGTTAACGCAGCTGTCATGTAAGAATGAGGAACTGAGTGTGCATTTTCAGCACCCACATAAAAGCTGGACATGTTGTAGTCAAGGGTTAAGAGGACTCAGACAGGGAATCCCTGGAGCTGACTGGCCTGCCTGTCTAGACAAACTGGTAAGCTTTGGGTTCAGTGAGACTCTGTCTCAAGATATCGGATAGAGAGTGATTGGGGAAGGAAACTGCTGTTGATCTCTACACACACTACCACCACTGTGGCTGCTGCTGTTACCACCACCAATCACTGTCAGACTTTAGAGGTCACTGTTTACTTTCCATCTTCAATGTCTGTGGTACCTGTGTGTTTCTCTGAAGGATTTAAGCGTCTCCTGGTCCCTGGGGGACTGAAGTTTTCTGGGTGGCTAAGTGTGACTGTTTCTTCTCACGTTCTGGGTAATGGGTGCTGTCAGCAACTGGCTTTTCTTAAATCTCCTCATGACAATTTCCTTCTCCTGGTGTGTTCTGATGTTTTATCCTAGGAATTCTACCAATACATACTAACTCCTAGATTCCTAGTGTACTTAGTTGTTATTTCTGCTTTTATTCTTTTAATTACCAAGCATTCTTAATTCTTCAGATGACCTCCCTTAGCTTTTTTTTTTTTTAAGACCTCCCAAATTAGACAGCTTCTGAAATAGTGTTTTCACTATTTCATTTTGCTCCTTCTCATTTTGATCCCCAACCTCCTCGGCTCCCTACTCCTTTAGATACTAAGAAACTATTCATGGTAAATTTCCTGGAATGATTAAGTATTGCTTTTCCATAGTTAATGCTTCCATACACTCATCTACATGAGTTGTAATTCATTGTTTTCTTTTATTCTTCTAAAACTTAATAGTTTTGTATTTATTTTGAGTTCCATATTTCATGGTAAATGCTATTTGTTATGTAGCTCTCTACAGTTTCCTTTATCATTGACTTAAAAGTTCCATAAGGAGATTAAATTTTTAAAAGCTTTCTTCACAGTTACTGTAAAATAAATATAAAATTTAGAATATTTGTGGTCATGAAATAGAAGAAATCAAAAAATTATAGCCAGTCATCAAGTTGTGATTTTTCTTCTATTCTCCCTCTACTTAAAACACACAGGCACATTTCACATGGAATATTCTTTTTATTTTCCACCACACATTGTCTAAATATTATTTTTTCCTCTATTTTATTGGAAAAGCTTTGTGGCAAAACTGGATAGTGCTAAAACAAAGCTAACTGTGTTTGATTAAACTGATAAAGCCCCAGTAATCATGTGTGATGAGATAGTGTAGCTGTGTCTGGAACTAAACACTTGTCAAGAATTTGTGATACAAGAGGAAGCTGAAACAGCATTATATGTTAACGACTGCATTCAGTTTTGGCACAATATTGTGGAGCCCCACGACACATTTAGTTCCTTACTCTGGGGCAGCAGGTGACAACTGGATGATGTGGGGACATTATACATAGGACTCATCTGCCTCCACCATTATCAAAACTTAATCTCACTAGAGGGGATTAGATATGGCGGTGAACCTGTGACACCAAGCGCCTGGAGTGCTGTTATCTTTCAACACATCCTCTATCTTTTCTTCCACAGTGTAGTCTGTCTGATGTAGATACCAGAACATTATTGATTGTCTCTTGGGCAACTGAAAAAAAAACTATGTCTGAAGACAAAAGTACCTGGGAAATATCTCATTTTGTCAGTCATTTCTCAGATTTGCATTTATGATGCTTTAAAGAAACAATAATCATTTCTAATTATCATTGGAATCATAAAACAAAGGTACTGGAAATTCGGTGCTAAAGACTGATAGAAGCAGAAGTAGTGATAACACTTGAACTCGATTACAGGCCCAGACTGGTGTGTGACAGATCCAGATATAGGAGGAAGGAGAGCGGCGCACTGGAACAACTTCACCACTTAATATGTCTATGTGTCGGGCTCTTTGTTTTCTGTTTGGGTTGTTGTTGTTGTTGTTCTAGTTTTTAAAATGTACATATCTACATATACACAGGAATGACTCTAAATAAATGATCTGTTAGCTTTTTTCAAAGTATTTGATGACTAATTCTGGATGGTATTTTCAGTAGTTTTTGAATGATTACATAAATTAATGTTTGGTGGTAATCAAAGAATAAACTCATGAGAAATTCTGACTATAGTCATTTAGATACCATTCCCGGCTTATTTCCTGTCCCATTGGATTGTTTTCATAGGGTATAAATGATTGTTAAGGGATAATCTCTGCTTTGATACATTAAAAAAATGCTGCCAGCTACTGACATCCCATCAATCAAAATGCTTTTAGTTAGGTTTTCAATATACTTGATGGTATTTCATCTACTTCATCCAGTTCTTCTGGAAACCAATGATGTTTCTTTCCTCCCATCCCTGATATCTCTCTCTCTCTCTCTCTCTCTCTCTCTCTCTCTCTCTCTCTCTCTCGATCCTTCTCTCTGTCACCCCCTCTGCTTGCCTTTATCTTTGTTTCTTTATTGCAGACCTTTAGTGTTTGTTCTGGTTTTTCTTTAAAAACGTTTCCATTTGTTGTAGACTTTGTATTTGTTAGGCTAGTGTAATTTTTTCAGGATATGAGTAGACTCCTCCCTAAGTCATGTATTTATCCATTTTGAAATTGGGGGGGCGGGGTTAAAAGAACAGGACAGAAAGCCTTAAAACTCAGTGATTTCTCGGTCCAAATATGTGCATTGATGAAATGTAATCATGGTGGGAGATGCTGTGGTGACAGAGAAATTAGCCATAAATTGGGAAATAAAATGATTACAGACAGTACTAAGAGAGATGATGAACACAAAATATGGAGATGGAATAGAGATTGGTGTGTGTGTGTGTACACATGACAATTAGCATCTCTTAGTTTCTCATTTGTCAAATGAAGACTTGAACTATATGGTTTTTAAGATGCCTTTAGACCATTTTTAAAAAAATTTAATTCACTTTATTTTTCAAATTACATGACTATTGTCTATCCCTATTAGTATTTTTTTTTAAGTACAAGTATGAAAAATCCACCTGTTGGGACTTAAAAGGTGCCATTACGTTCTGTGTATCATTTTTTGTTCCCTAAATTGATTTTTAGAAGTTGCTACTGTCTGAAAGGTTTGGCAGTGGTTTGGACTGTGGCTTGACAGAGCTTGGGGCTTCTTACTCCTGCACAACCCAGGCCAGTGGGAAGGCTCCCACCCTGACTCAGAGGCACATATGGAAGTGCCATGGGTGTGTGCTGGTTGTTGCCTTACAGTGATGTGAAGAGCTGCTGATTTCACCTGGGAGAAAGAGATGAGGAAGCCATCTTGTGAGTGGCAGTTAGGGAAGTGTAGTAGTAATAATTCAAGCGTTATTCCCTGTGTTATAAATTTCTTCTGGAGTCTGTGGTAGGACCCCTGAATGAACAAACTTTCAGCTTGTTAGAAAAGAGAGGACAGTGTTTAGTTTTGACAATGGTTTTCAGGTAAAATATTTGAATTTTTCAATGAGTTTATATTGCTCACTGGTAATAATAAAAATACAATGAAGGAATTTCATTTTTCTTGGTTGTCACGGGGAAACCATATTCTGAAGCTGGTATTAAAGTCTGTTGCATACACTGACCGGTAAGTAAAGCTAAACATGGGTGCTGTTTGGTAGGTAGGTATACCTTATTTGTTTTCTTTTAGGTTTTTGTTTTGGTTAGTGGGATCTTTTAGCCTTGCTTCTTTTTGTCATTCTTTTAGCTCTTGTTTCCCTTTGGAAATTTTACATAGTTGAAAGGAGAAAAACTGTTTTAGGAGCAATCATTTTTTTTAATCACAAAATGAAAAACAAAGTTAGTAAACAACACATGAATATCAATGGTGTCTGTTGTAGAGGCAAACCAAACCTGCTGGACATGGGCTCTTTGATGATCAAACCTATTCAACGTGTGATGAAATACCCACTGCTACTGTGTGAACTTCGGAACTCAACCCCTCCCTCCCACCCCGACTACAGAGCACTGGAAGAAGCCTTCGCTGCTGTGAAGGACATTAATGTTAACATCAATGAGCTGAAGAGAAGGAAAGACCTGGGTAGGTGGAAGTGTGGAAGGCTGACTGTTCCCCAGGATTGGAGTGTTCTGTTTGTGTGTGACATCACAGTGTCTGAATGGCTACACAGCGGTCGAAGCGAACGCGATGATTTGAAATCTAGAGTCAGAGGACAGGAGCAGAGCATGAGATTGCCTTAGTAGCTAGGTTCAGGAAAAGACCATTAAAAAACTGGAAATTAAAAAAAAAATCCAGCAGGTGCACTCAAGCATTCACTCTTACCTGACCACTGTGTTCCTGGTGGTATATTGTGAGCATACAGTCCTCCTGACACCAAATGTCTACAGAGAAAGGGGGAGATACAGCCCAGGATTTGCAGCCCTGGGAGCTAATGCAGAAATGGCCCAACCAGGTCTAGATCCACGTGAAGGGCTCCATTTAATATATTTGATTCATTTGGTCCTGACACACAGGAATGAAGTTTGGGGTCAAGGAGGGGCAGATTTATTTGTTTCTACAATTAACTAATGATTCTTAACCATTTTAAGCTAAGATGTTACAATTATCACCTTATGTTAAGTGTAGGTTTCAATATAGGAGTGCTAATTCTGTGGACCCCATGCATCCCAGGGATAATAGGCCTTCATCCTCCCAGTGGAATTAGTGATCATGAAGAGCTCTTATCCAAGTTTGTGTTTCCAGGACACAACCTCAACCCAATTATTAAGTAATGACAGGGGTTTAGAAATAAATGGTGCAACAACTTCATTTTCTTTGGTTGGTTTTGTTTTCAAATAAGTAAAAAGCAAAGTATTTGTTTTAGCAAATTAAAACCATAAAGAATAGAATAACAAAGTAATAGAGTAAAAGACACCATAAGCAAAATGAAAAGACTGCATACATAGGATGACTGCCTAGAATGTATTGTTGTTATTATTATTTCAGTAATAAGAATATTCTAATAAAAAGTCAATAAAAAAGGACAATTCACAGGAAGCTTTGCTAGTAACCCGGGATTGAAAATTAAAATCACAATGATATGATATGCTAAATCTCTTGAGCCAGAGAATGTGTGCTACTTGCCAGTACTATTCAAAGCATTACTATACTTGGTCTCAGACAAAAGATGGTAAACTGGTCAAAAATTGTTTTAAAGAGTTATATAGTAATCTAGTAATGGGTAATAAACTGTGTTATACACTATGATACAATAAGAAGATTAAAAAGCAATGACATAAAATACTTGTATCCACAAAATCACAAAAAAATTTTGAAAAGTGTATTTATTTTATTTTCTGAAACATGGTTTAATGTAGCCCAGGCCAGCTTCAAACACATTATGCAGCTGAGGCTGGAATTGAATCCTCTTGCCTCCACTGTCCAAGTGCTTGGATTACAGGTGTGTACAACTAAGCTTGGATCAGTCTTGAGTTTATATGTTCAATATAGTACCATTCATGTAAAGCTTGAGACAGTAAATTGTACATCTTGTCTAATTCAACATGCACTGTTGGCTTAATCCTCATCAACAGTGCCCATGACTTAACATCTTCCTAAACCCTTACCAATACTGAATGTATCAAACATTTGGAACAAGATGAGGGGTAACAGTTATTTCAAAGAAAGGAAAACTCAGAACAATACTCACCTGGCCCCAAATCACAGAACTTGTGAAAAGCCAACCTAGGATTTGAGGCTAATGTGTGATGGGTTCAGTTGTCTTTTCATTACTTTGGACCTGATTTCCTATTCCAAAGACCCCCAGATAATATGCACCATTGGAGTGGAGGTGCTTTCTTCTTTTCTAGTACAAGGAACTTTTTTTTTCTTCTCTCGCTGGTACTGAGAGTAAAATCCAACTTCTTCCCCTGTCCGGAGATTTCTTTAGCATGAGAAGTAAATTAACTTGACCTTGAATAGCCTTGAGTAGCCATGTCCTTGAATAGCCGAGTTTCTGAAGGTCAATGGGTGACAGACTAGTCAGTGGGGTAATGGGTAATGGCCCCTGCAGAAGAGTTAAAATCCCCATAAATTCTATCCTCAATATAAATATTGGCTTTTAAAACTCTAGTGGAGGGCCCTCTGACTGAGCATAATCAGATGTATCACTGCATTCTTCCTTTTCAGTTTTAAAATATAAGAAGAATGATGAGGAAGAATCACTCAAAGACAAACTATCTAAACTAAATATTCATTCAATTAGCAAGAAGTCAAAAAGAGTCACAAATCATCTAAAGATCCTGACCAGAGGAGAGTCACAGGTAATTTTTCTTCTTGGACCACCTACACTTCCTCAGAGATCATTAACACTGCCATTCTTAGGGGCCTTGGCTTTGCTCTTTCCATGAATATATCTAGAACACAGAATCAAGGTAGTGCCCCATGTTCTTCCTTTGGGGGGTGTCTGGAGGTTTTAACACTACCTCAGTTTCCACTGGAAGGCAGAAAGAGGAGAAATGAGAATGGAAGACATATGATGACCCGACACAGGAGACCCACACTCAACTGCTCACCATCTCTCTCCCCAAGGCCACTTCTTCCTCCATTTCAGTTTTATTTCTGCTTTAAATCTTTTTCTGTTCCTCTGGGTTTCTCTTTATTTCATCTAAAAACAAAGAAGTGTTTAGATGCATAAGCCAGTGTGATGGTTTGGGTGTTCCTACCCCCTTCTCTTCCTGGAGACTCCCTAGATACACACTCCATTACTGGGTGACTGGTCCTTAGTGATCTTGCTCAGCTGTTTAACATAGCTTGCATTTTAATCCCAACCTCTTATAGATAACCAGATTTTCAAAGAATTCTAAATTTTAATCTGCTTAAGGAGAACCACATGAGATAATTTCAAAAGACAGGTCCTAGAGTTCCACCTTTCTCAAGGGTACAACCTAGAACCCTCTATTTATACAGACATCCCAGGAGTTTTGAGGTTAATGAACCTGAAGTAAGTGATCAGTAGAACATATCTTGATAATGAAAGAAAGTTCATGGCCTGGTGATGCAATGGCTTCTCGCTGAAATTAAGGAGGACAGTGCTCTATTGCCATCTTTTCTTCTCAGTTTCCCCATGGCTGCAGAGGCTTTACCACTTGTGGGGTACATAGCTGATTCTACCATTGTATTTATTTCTTTATAATTTTCTAGGGATTTACCAGGTCCATCACAAAAAGAGGCTTGATATGCAGCTATAATGTGGGAAGTTTGGGAAATTAATAGTGCGTGGTGACTGATCAGGAAATGGATAATTGGGACATTTCAACTAAAGACAACAGTAATAAAATCAAATTGAAAATGAGCTTAAGGAGACAGTAGCCCCCTGCAGGCATTTATAAACCTGTGCAGAAATTCTCTTCCATGCTTTGAGATTTTGCTTCTTACTCAAGACAGTTCTGCTGAATAGAGTAGGCAGCTTCTAATCTGAGGCAGAATTTTGTGGGGACCATTTTATTCTTTTGCATATTTATCATCAGCTTTTTTTTAAAACTGTGAACTAAAAGTGAATTGTAGCTAAAATAGCCTGAAGGGATATTAATTAGATTTTTCCTCTTAATCTTCATAGAGGATGTCTTGTCAGCAATGAAGCATTTCACTGTTAATCAGAAAATCAGCTGCATAGGCTGGACTGGCGAAGAGATAAATCTCAAATCAATCAATTTTGCACTTGTCAGCAGCTCAGGTGAAATATTGGTAGAGTTAGGGTGCAAAGCTATTACCCAGGAGGAAGATTCTATTCAATCCATCATATATGTATTGAACTTTCGTGTACCAGGCACTGTGTGAGAGATTGGGAATACAAAGATGAACAGGTATAGATCCAGAATTTGGCCTGCCTTGTTTTTAATATCAATCATATCTATAAATATGTTTCTCTAACTTTCTACTTTAGGGCAAAGACTATGTATCTATCATAAAGAGATTCTTAAGCACGGTACAGCATAAAGCAGGACTGCATAGCATAACATAGCAGATAAAACATGGCATAGCAAATACAGCATAGGCTACCAGTCAAGTGACCACTTATTCCATCTCTAATAACAATCCTGAGATGTGAGCAGATGGGATCTGCTTCATGAAATCTTCCAAGAACCCAGTCAAATTTTGTACAGTGTTTTCCCTAAACATATTGTCTTCAGCTGGTAATTGAAACTAGGTCATTATTGTGTCTCCATTCAAGTCCCACAGACAGTGTCACAAGGCCAAAACTTAGAAATGAAACACAACACTTCCTTCACACTCTATTTGTCCAAATCCAGTTACATGGGCAGAGCTAGCTGCAAAGGAGTCTGGGAAACAGGGTTCCTAGTAGGGCAGCCATATTTCCAACTTAATCTAGTGCTGCCAGCTTTGTCATTGGAAGGACAACAGAGGAATATTAACATCTCCAAAGCATCTGTATCTCTATCTCTAAAATGGGATTAATCATAATGCTTACCCCATAGAGTTGTGTAAGAATTAAAACGATAAAGTCAATGAAAGGTTTTGGCACAGTGTCTGAATATAATTAATGTTTAATAAATGTTAGCTATTGTTAGTAGTAAGACAAACTTCTTAATCTTAAATACTTAGTATCAGTGGAGAAAATTGCTTAAAAAATTAGCTAAGGTTATAAGAGCACATAGAAGGAAGAAATTAATTTTCTTCAATGTGAAAAATAGTAATGAAAGTAGGATTTATGGAAGGGGCAATTCTTGAATCTAATCCCTAAAAATAAACATAATCCTAAGGCAGAAAAAAGCAACAGCACATTTCATCAAAACAGCATGGAAAGGTTTAGTGATGGAGAGCCAGGATAGGGCAACATTTCTCACAGTGTAATCCTTAGTGCCTATTGCAAAGTCATCTGGGTCCTAGCTAGCTACACAGAATAAAATGTCAGGAGGTAGGATCTTTGGAAACTCTATTTACAAAAATCTGTCCAAGCATATTGGTATATGTACACATAGAGTTGGAGCAAAGACATAAGGCCAAGGATACCTGGTTATGAATTCTGCTGCCTATTTAATTAAGGTTTTCCCACACAAATAAAACTAAGGGATTCAAAAATAAATAAAAGATTGTATATATATATATATATATATATAGTTTTTATATATAGTTATACATATATATATATATGTATACACACACATACACACACAGTTCTGAGGTCAACTATGTGAAATTAAGAAGCACATGGACCAAGAAGAGCACAATTATTACCAAGTACAGAAATGAACTGCATATACTCTGTTCCATGTAACATTCATGTGCCTGTTCACAACAGCTTCACCACCACAGGACTGGTTCTGGTAGATATTCTGGTTGCAATAAAGTTCACCATCAATAGGAATGTGTATATCTCTAAAATTTACTAAAAGTGTATAAAAACACAGTGCATTCATGGGATTCTAATAGATATTACATATACGATGGTAAACACAACTGGACACGTGTGACAGCCATCGTAGCTCTGCAAATGTGCTCCACAGAAGAACTAATATTACATACCGTCTTTCAGGTTTGAGGGGTATTACCACCTTCCTTTAATGACGGGCCTAAGAATATTTCCTAAATCAGCCCTGTGAGATAAACTAGAATAATTTCCATGAGCAAAACAATAGACAGTGTAATTTGAGAACACAATATATGCTACTAAAGCCCACAGGGGTGGGGGTTCTGGGGAGATGGCTCCATGGTTAAGAGCACTTGCTGCTCTTGAAGGGATCCCAAACTCTGTTCCCATCACCCACGTTGGATGACTCACAACCTCCTGTAACTCCAGCTTCAGGGATTCCAGCTTCAGAGGGCATCGGACACCTCTGTGCTCTGTGGGCACCTGAACACCTGTGTACGTAGTGCCCCCATACATATATAATAAAGAAAGAAATCTTTTTTAAAAACTATAGAGGGAGTTAGGAACATGTCCCCGTGGGTAAGAGCACTTGTGCAGACATGCGGTCATGAGTTTGAATCCCCAGCACCTTGTAAAAAGCCATGCACCTGCTCCTCCCATAAGTGAAACACTGTGAGAGGTGGAGAGTAAGATCACTGGAGCTTGCCATCTGCCAGCTCCAGGTTCAGGGAGAGATTCTGTCTCAAAGGAGAAAGGCAAAGGGTGACAGAGTGGCACACCTGATGTCCTCCTCTGAAGGCATGGGTATGTGACCTGTCTCTAACACATGGGCATGGGCACGGGCACACACACACACACACACACACACACACACACACACACACACACACACACACACAACAGAGAGGGAAACAGACAGAGACAGAGGCAGAATAAGATGCAGGGAAAAGCTTTACAGTCCTATGTCTGCTGTGACATGGGTGAGGTGGTACAAAATAAACAGCAAATCCAATTTCATGATATGACTTGTAACACTGGCTAGACAGTAGTGTGTGTTATGTGCAGATCCAGAAAATTCTGTTATGAAAGTCAGCATATCACAGAGTATTTTCATACAGCAAAGGATTTTTTTGTTGTGTGCTGGCTTCAATGTGGTCTGTACCATCTTTAATTTTTTATTTACTTTGTGCCATTTTTTTAAAAAAAATATTAGATCTGTTTGAGTCATGAAACTGAGTAATTTCTCGTGTGTTTCAGGTCAAAGACAACACCTTTAACAGGGAAGAAAAGCTTTTTAGATCACTAGAAAAGACTCTGAGGTTTTGTGTGAAGAACATTTCATCCTGCCTTCAGCACATAGAGGTGGGTGAGAGCCGAATGCTTCTGCAAGAGTACACCAGTTTCCACGGGGGTCATGAGGAAATGGGACTCGTTGTTTGCATGATGATACTAAACTGTATCAAACTTGGGAGGCTGCAAAGTTCTGATAAGGCAAGCCATATAAAGGCTTGGTCTGTGCCCGCTTCCTGCCCCCTCCAAATCACTGTACTGTTGGACTTTTGCTCAGATGCATATAACATGGACCCCATCCTGTCTTCTTTATAATAAAAATGAGTTTGTGAGCACTAGATTGTATGTGAGGCAGACACTGTTTGTCTAATTTTGCCAGTATAATTCTTTGTGGATCCTAAAATAAGGATAAAAATCCCATACAAAGGAAAATAAATTGAACAACACAGACTATGGTAAGGAAATGCTGTTGTGCAGCAGACACCCCACAAATTTCTAGCTTCTTGGGAGGTTGTCCCGACCTACCTGAGCATCTCTGCTTTTAAAAATCTGAGGTGGAATGCTGCACAATTACACTCCTTGGAAAGGTTGGCCACGGGTTACTTGTAATGGATCTTACAGAGGACACAGTGTCCTTGCAAACAACTTGACAACAGCTATGACTTGAAGGATAGGAAGTTAGCAGTTATATGTAAGTCAGTTAATAAGCAGACCCTTCCTTCCCCCAGAAGTTTCTCTCCTGGATATCTAATTTTGGAGGTAAGTGCTTGCACAGTTAGATAAAATACCCTACCAGCAGAGCCTTAACATGACCAACACACTTTGGAGACAAGATTCCATATTCTGGAGGTATGAGCACCATCCATCCCTACAATCTGACCCAGAGTCTGTTTCACAAGCAGGTTAGCAAATCTGTGTGAAACAAGCCCCCCAAACACAGTTGCAGTGGGACACAGCAGTGGGATATGGCAGCCCTTCGGGTCTTGCTCAAGGAGTGAGCGCCTCTGGGGAGCACTCATTGGTATTTTCACTGAATCCACAAAAGATGTGGGCACTTTTTTTTCCTAAAAGATAACATTAAATTTACCAAGAAAAGCAGCTGATTAAATCGGAGGGGAGTGCTTTTTGAAATAAAGAGTCTGAGGAATTGAAGGAGAAGGAATGGCTGAGGGAATTTAAGATGGGCTCCTTCCTGCTCACAGAGAGCCAGAAGCGGTGGGGACGGGGAGGAGGGAAACAGACTGCTGCAGGCAGTCCCATGGTGTAGAGCATCCACGGTATTTTTATAGTTCATTTTCTATCTCTCAGGGAAATTTAGTATTGTGATGATGACGTTCACACTGGGGAGATGTTCATTGTGCTGGACTCATTCAGAACTTGCCCTTTTTATAACTGTGTTTCAGCAGGCCATGCCCTTCACTCTGCAGAGTGTAGCAGAGCTCCGTGAGATTTCCTACAAGGATGGAGAGATGAACTGCGGTGAACCCCATAGTCATGCTTTAAATCCCTGTCAAGACTTTGTAAGTTACACACAGAGATAAATACAAATTAAACAGCAGGTTTTAAAAGCTCCTTTCACCCCTCCCCTCACTGTATAATATATAACTATATATAACTGCACATATCCTGTAGTTAGGTATAAAATATGCACTAAATCAAATTCTAATGTCAAAATTAGGCTTTTTGAGACAGGAGTTTTTAAATAATTAACTATGTTTAGAGTGAGTTAGTAAGGATTGTACTATAATAGTAATTTAATATAACCTCATACTCTGTTTCTGGGGTAGTAAGTGTCTGATGAAACAGATACTTAAAACCATATTCGGTGTAAGTCAGTGTATGAGATATTAAGAATATATTAATTTGTAAAGCTGTGAATTTTTGTTATTTTGTTGTTTTGTTTTGTTTCCTTTTGTTTTGTTTTTGAGATAGGATTTCTCTGTGTAACAACCCTGGCTGTCTTCGAACTCACTCTGTAGACCAGGCTGACCTTGAACTCACAGAGATCCGCCAGTCTCTGCCTCCTGAGTGCTGAGATTAAAGGCGTGCACTACCACCACCCAGCAAGCTGTGAATTTCTTAAAAAGGTTCATGGAAATGCTTTGAGTCCTTACTGAAGGAGAACAGATTCTGTGTCTGTGATGTTCAGCACAATGGGCACTGGACAGCAAAGCCTTCCCATGGAGAAAAGACACACTTAGCTGTCAGATTTTCTTCCTGCCCATGGTAAATTCTTTTCTTCCTTTCTAGTTCTGGAAACTGAACTTAGAAACTCACACATGCTAGGCAAGCACTTTGTCAGTGTGCTATTACCACAGCCCCCCCACCCACCCACCCCCACAGATTGTTTTTTTCTTTTGTTTTATTTTGTTGTTTGTTTTTCTGAGACTAGGTAGCAGTCCTAGCTGTCCTGGAACTCACTTTGTAGCCCAAGCTGACATTGAATTCACTGAGATCCTCCTGCCTCACCTCCTGAGTGCTGGAATTAAAGGCGCGTGCCACCAATGCCCAGCCAGACTATTTATTTTTAAGAGTTCTTTAAAATATATTTTGGGAAGCATTAAAACATTCTTGACTAATAAAATGTTTGGGTGGTAAGCTTTTCTGGGTGATACTAATTCTAGTTTAGTGTCTTATGTTATTATTTCATAGCAGTATTTAATATATTTTGGAGAAAGCATAATAGGCTATATTTCTCTGTTGGCTGTGTTGGTATTAGGGCCAGATTGTCTTCTTCAACTTGTATTGGATGATTCTAGCAGTCCTGACCCATGAGGCTCAAAATCTCAGCAACCTCCACCTCAAAATAATCTTAAACCAATGAGCTCCCAAATGTTTCCAGACCTTAAGAAGTGACACAGCCCACATCCCCCTGCAAAACTACTCTGAATAAGCTGTTTGGGGCATTATAAAACAGAACTTTGGGATTACATTCTTTTGATAAATAAGATCTGTACTTGCTATGCAGACCAGGCTGACCTTGAACTCAACAAAGCACAGCCTTCTTTTGTTGCCCAAGTATTGGCATTAAAGATGAGTGCCAAAATCCTCAAGGACATACCCAGAAGTCTGTCTCCTGGGCAATTCTAAATTCTGTCAAGTTGTCAATCAAAATTTACCATTACATGCATAAAAAAATAAAAAAATTATGTAATATTTTAAAGGGTCTGGTGGGTGCCTCAATGGGTAAAAATGCTTGCTATCAAGCCTGATACCTGGTTTGATCCTAAAGAATACACATGGTGGAAAGAAAGAACCAACTCCTACAAGTTGTCTTCTGACCCCAACATTCATTCTATGACAAGAATGCCCTCTGACAGGAACACAAAATCAGTAAAAAAAAAAATGTATGAAGATTAAATATCTCGATATCTAAAATAAAGTGATAGATCCATGTTGTTTGTTTGTGCTCTTTTGAGGGGCTCAACACCCAGCTCCCAAATAAATCACACATGAAGGCTTATTTTTTTTTTTTTTTTTTTTTTGGTTTTTCAAGACAGGGTTTCTCTGTGTAGCTTTGTGCCTCTCCTGGAACTCACTTGGTAGCCCAGGCTGGCCTCGAACTCACAGAGATCCACCTGGCTCTGCCTCCCAAGTGCTGGGATTAAAGGCGTGCGCCACCACCGCCCGGCATGAAGGCTTATTTTTAATTACAAATGCCCACCTTAGCTTGGCTTGTTTCTTGCTAGCTTTTCTTAGCTTAAATTATCCTCTCTACCTTTTGCCTCTGGGCTTCTCCTGTTCTCTTACTTCTGTAAATTGTACTCTTACTCTGTGGCTGGCTGGGTGGCTGACCCATAGAGTCTTCCTCCTTCTCTAGCTACTTTTTTTCTCCTCCCACATTTCTCCTTTTATACATTCTCTCTGCCTGCCAGCCCCACCTATCCTTTTTCCTGCCTTGCCATTGGCCATTCAGTTCTTTATTAGATCATCGGGTGTTTTAGACAGGCACAATAACACAGTTTCACAGAGTTAAACAAATGCAACATAAATAAAAGTAACACACCTTGAAATAATATTCCCCAACAGGAATAGACAGATGGGTGCATAGGAAGATCAATAGACAAAAGTTTTTACACTTATAGGGCTTAACTGCACAACATGATTATGTCTTGTGGATTTTTTTCAGGGTTCAATTATAGGAAGGACATTTTAGAAAAGCCATTAAGAATTTGCTAAATTTAAATTCACTAAGTTGATAAATATTTATCAAAATGGTCTGAACGCATGCTCCATAGTTTCTCCCTTAGCCAGCATGCTCCACAGTTTGAGAGAAAGAAGGAAGAAACTGTCTTGTCTACCTTAATAACATAATATTAGATTATATGATTATATTGATTATTATTAAATATTATATTAACAATATTAATAATATTAGATGTGTCAAGTTAAAAGAATGATATAAAAGTGGCATTTTATTGGGTAACACACCAAACTCTTTGAAGATGAAATGTTAACTCAAAAATTTACACCAAGGCAGAGAAGTTATTCCTATCCAGCCATAAATGATACTTTTCCACAAATATTGTGTAGCACACAATTCAAAAATACAGCCCGCTTATCTGTTCCAACTACTGTCCCTTGGCAAATAAAGTTCATCTCTATGAGGCACTGGACATACATTACAATTATAGTATAATCTTCAAATTAGTAACCTGTGGCTCCCAGGCAAGTGATAAACACAGTGACTTATCCCAGATACAGTAAATGCATTTGTTGCCTAGTCCAGGGGCTCATTAAATGGTGGGATGGTATCTATTGATTATTCCATAAACTGCACATCAAATCTAATTTGTGTTGGCTATCGCTGGTGCCACTAACATATGAGGTTCCCTCTTTTAAATTTCCAATGAGTTCAGACAAAGTTAGCAGGAACCATTCACATTAATTAATACAGGCTGTTGCCCTGATTTCCTGGATAATCTTTGAGGTTACAAATGATAAAATTACTTCCAGATTCCTATAACATGTGTGATAAGGTGCGAGGCAGGGCAGTCATCAGACACAGGGTAGAGGTGCATGTCAGAACACAAGGGAAAGACACAAGAAGAGAAGACATTAAATCTAGGATTCTTGAGGACCGTCATGGGGTTGGCCACTAATGCAAAGTTTTTCTTTAATGTTTCAGAGCTGAAAATGTAGTAGTTTCAGATACCCTCGATCCTTTGGTGCATTTAAATGTTTAGGTCTGGTCATTTCTGTCACAGGCTTAAGATATACATTTAAAGAACCAATGCTTGCATGGGGAATACAGTTAATTCTATCCAAAAACAAACCTCGAGGTTAAAAAACAGATTTGAAACCCATACGGGGGTTCTAATAGAGTCTCTCCTTAAAATGCTTGTGCACATTTTGCTGATGGCAAGAGGCGAAGGTGGTGAACTGGTCAATCATGCCACACACTGACATCCCTCACCACAACCTTGATGCCGTATGATAGCTCAGCTTGGCTCTGGGGTTAGAAGGGAGCAAGAGGGAGGGTCCTGAAGGAGGTATCCACAGCACAGCTGTAGACCGAAGACTTATGATCTGGGTGAGCAGGCTTTTTCTTCTCGCTCATCTTCAGGTTCAATATCGATGCTTTAAGCCTGAATAAACAAGCTCAGGCAGCCCCCCTGAATGTGAGATCCTCTTCTTAAATGACTGTGTGTTGTCCTGTTCCCATTGAGCTCCAGAAGAGAGGAGGTAGACCTACTGAGAGCAGCACTGGTCATGGAGTGAGCCATCCTTCTCTCAGCAATGAGACTATATTTTTCTTTTGCAGGTAGCTCGCTCTCAGAGACTCATCCTGACCCCACTGTCAGCCTTGCTGTCCTTATTCCCAGGGCCTCAGAAGCTCATCCAAAAACGCTATGACAAACTACTGGACTACAATAGCTCCCTGCCACGGTCAGCAGCCGATGAATCAGACTTGGCCAAACGGGAATATGAGGCCCTCAATGCCCAGCTTGTGGAAGAGCTCCAGACATTCAACCAGGCTGCCAGGAAGATCCTGCTGAACTGCCTGTGCAGTTTTATCACCCTCCTCCGGGACTTGATGCTGGTGGCGCTGCAGGCTTATTCCACAGTCAGGCCGGTGAGCACAGCACTCCTCCTTGGCCACCTCAACCTCAGTCTTCATTCAGAGTGTGCATGCATGGCCCTTGTGTGGTGTGGTTTAAGCATAAAGTCAGTCAGATGTCCTTCTGCATTTTGAACCATATAGTTTTAAAGACTGTATCTGCCTGTATGTTGACGTGTCCCGCCATGATGATAATGGACTAAACCTCTGAACTGTAAGCCAGCCCCAATTAAATGTTTTCCTTTATAAGAGTTGCCATGGTCATGGTGTCTCTTCACAGCGGTAGAAACTCTAAAACAAAAGCTAGCCATCAGGAAGAGTTTCCTGGTCAGTTCAAGATTTATTTTTTTGTGTCCTGCAACATAAGTACATGTCTTCAGTAATACAGCCTTAATATCTGCCTATGGAGAACAATGACAATAAGCTGTATTGTTTTAGGTGCTTCTGGGGTCTCTTGGCCCAAAACCTGAAAAGGAGGAGTCCATGCCCAGCACTGAGATTTTTACTTAGTGACTCATGTCTTCTGGGCAGCATCATTTACTGATGTGGAATACTTTGGTTTAAACTC